AAAGCATTTGACTTGTTTAGAGGTAAGTACAGATGGAATGCGTTATCCATGGATTTTCGCAGATTGAATCAAAGTGATCTAATTCTCTGTAGAAGTGTGCATTTTTGAAGGCTTAAACTTTAACATTTGACTTTTTTTTCTTCTTTGATTGTGAAGACTTAAGCAACAAGCAGTTTTGTTACTACCGCAACTTCTTTCTCTCACGATTACACTTACAAAAAATAAAAGATCCTCTCAGGCTTTCCCGAAGTGACTTAGGAGTTTAAAGAAAAACACTGACTTTGTCGCCGCTTCTGGTCATTCTGGAAGGAAACCCACTTTCGATAATTGGATTACTAAAAGGGATATATTCGGATACTCTCAAGCTATGCCATTGTATGCTCCATTTGGATTGTCGCACGGAAGGTTAAGAGTTACGCGCAAATTTTCTTCTTTCTAATTCAAGAACTCTCTTTGCAAGTGATGTAATTTCGTTGTTGTAACATCCATAGTTTCTAGGGTTTCAAATTAGCTTGTTGTTCCGCTTATCTTGCTAATTATGGATACCTTCACACAATTTTTCGTTATTTTCCGCACTTAAAAAGAAAGAGCTGTAGATGAACTAGTAGCAGAAATTCTTAATGCCAAGCAAGGCAAGATTTATAAGATTAGCAAGGATACGATTCAGAAAAAGGACAATCTTCTATGTATAAATAAAATGTAACATAACGTGAACACAAAAAAGTCATAATGGGTTAAATACCAGTGTCTTGAAGCTTTTAACAGGAATTTGTCAAGAAGGGGCTGAGAAATAAACGGATAAAACTTTCATGTTATCTTTTTCGTACGTAGTGCTTCTAGGAAAGATTCGGAAGTGAGGTTACTCAAGGTGGGTAGCAGCTCAAATGAAAAGGGCTTTTTTTAAAATATGGTATCGGATTCGTTTAGGTGCTAGTCTAGACGCGAACGCTCAAAAAGTGACCTTCATTAAATTTAGAAATTGTAGTCTACGAAATTGTGCATGAATGTGTTTATTACAGGTAACAGTTTAGAGTGACTTTGGATAAATAGAGAAGAGGAACAATTTATTTCTCGATAAAATTAGAGCTTATCTTTGAAATGTTTTATAGAGAGGTCTGAAATTAGCTTAACCTACTTTTAACATTAACACTTTCTTGCGACTATTCTGAAAACTGCGCAGTTGAAGAAAGTTCAGAGATTGACTATACACAAATCCTTCAGTTAACATACGCACCTGGGTGATAGGTCGTTACTGACCAAGATAAAATGCTAATTTTGGAGCACTTAAAGCGCCTCTTACGCTTTTTGTGGTTCATTGTCGTCAACCAAGCATTTTCTATTACTAGAAGTGTTGCAGAGATTAATGTCAAAATTGAATATCTTTGGAACTTCATATTATTAATCTCGTAGCCTTTGCCCATTGATAAGGACCCCTTTCTGATACAGATTTCTCAGAAAGAGGCAAGATGCTCCTTAAAAAACGTTAAAATCTCGGAAAGCTCAGAGGTCATGTGGGATCAACTGCTGAGAGAAGCTCCCATCGAGGACTGCTCGCTTGCAATTTGTGGTATCGCATGGGTCCTTGACAAAGCTATAGACGGCCTCTACACTGTGTTTATTGAAAGGCAGAACAGAAGGAATTCGCAGAATTCGCATATGGCATGGCAAAATGAGAATCATTTGCATTGCATTCTTGAGGACAAAATCGCTGCACCGGAAGCTGTATGTATTAGGTTGAGGGTTGAATTGGGAAAAGCGTAAGGTTTCGAAATCAAACTAGAATTATATGGTTTGAAACAATATAAGAGAAATATCTAAGCTTTTAGTTTTCCTTCTTCATCTTTATACGAAAAAGGGTAGAGATAGCTTGCGAAAGGTTTTTTTTTCAGCGGAGATAATTCTGGAGTTGAGGGCAAGCACTTTGCTGTCAATGTATTCCAATAAAGAGCAAGAGTTCAAAAAATGCAAGGCTATCCTGACATTTCTAGAAACGATGAAATCCGAGAGTCACAGACAGGAAATTGCTCCAGCAAAGTGCACGGTGTTAATAAAGTCTTTTTGAAGACTTCACAACTTGAGCTATTTAGGGATTAAATTGCATACTGGAGCAACTATATAGTATATATGTAGCAACTATAATAATTCGATGAGTACAACTGATAGATAGGAAGAACACAAAA